CGACCTGTAGTTCCTCTTCCATAATAACCCATATCTGGCCTAACCAGTACGGTGTAGGCTCTCCTGCATGGCAGAGGCCACCGCCTGAATACTAAAATGCATTCTCCCCTTATCTGGGCAGAAACTAGAGGACAGTTCCCAGTTCCCCTTGCTATCAGGTGTGGCCATGACACTAGATTCTTTCCAGTGGAATGTGAGCCACTCCCAGGTGTGGCCCCTAAAAGCCTTCTGGTAGCTCCTCAATGCTCTTGCCCCTTTAAGTGAATGGCTGGAGGCAGCAGGAGGCAAGCCTCAGGGAATAACAGAACCTCAAGACAACAGGAGCCTGGGTCCCCAAATGACCAAGCCAAGAACAGCTGCCCTGCTGGCCTCAACCCCTCCTAGGACTGTTATAAGAGAAAGAGAAACAACTCTCACTGTGTTAAATCAGCATCATTTTGGTGTCTATTTGTTACTGAGACCTAGTCTACCATAAATCATATATCACCGAACAGCATGGAGGTGGTGGGAGGACAGCAAAGTCTCCCAAGGGAGTACTCAGAAATACTCGCCAGATACCTAAGACAAGCAGCAGCCACTCTGCCGGGTGTTTGCCAGCCCCGGCTTCCAAGTCCCAGTCTCGAGGTAGGCCTTAGCAGCTGTCCTTGCTGACTGATGGCCTGATCGTCCCCACTCCCACCCTCCCCCAGCTGACTGGCCCAGAAATGGATATCTGAGTTAGCAGGGCCAATCAGGTTACTTCTCCCAGGGTTGATAATTGGGACTCAGCTCGTCCAGCTGGCTTGAAATGAGATTCTGTGGTCTGTGAGTGGAGTGTGTACTGTAAACTGTCTCGGAAGAGAGAGGGAGGGGAGGAGAGGAGGAAGATATGGGGAGAAACGGGGAAAGGAGAGGGGGGAAGGGGAGGAAAAGGTGGCCCTTGCAAGGTCTGCAGCTTTTCCATTCTTGGAACCGGTTCTTCATGGGGTCAGGGGTGAAGTGCCTTCCTTGGACCCCCCACAAGATACCCCATTAGCTTGCCAGTACATGTTTTTATTTTGCTGAAGGCATTCTGAGTGTTTTTTGTTTTTCTCTATTATTTGCAACTAAAAAAACCTTGGTTGAAAGATATCCTCTGAAACAGCTATTTAACTTCTGGAAATTTGTCCTAAGGAAATAATTGGTCAAGGGATGAAAGAGGTATTTGTAAGAAGCTGCACTGCAGAGTTGTTCCTGACAACAAAAACACCAACTGGAAAACAGAACGGCCATGTGGGGCCTGGCCTTTGTTCACTCGGCAAGTATTTACTGGGTACTTAGCACGTGCCGGGTACTTTGCTAGGTGCTGAGGGTGCCAGTCAGTAAAACAGGCAATGCCTCTGTTCTCATGGGACCTACAGTCTGAGATGAACAAGAGTCATGTGAACACACTCTGACACAACTTCTGATCAGGACAGTGAGAAGAGCCGCAACCAGCACAAAGGCCCTGGGCAGGGAGCAGGCTGGACTGCTTCCAGGTCAGAAGGAAAGGCCCTGAGGCTGAAGGAGGAGAGTGATGTGAGGAGGCTGCGGTGGGTGGCATCAGGGACTGGAGCAGGTGACTGAGAAGCTCTGTCATCTTCTTGCAGGCCCCTGCACTTTCCTTCCTTTGTGCCCAGTCTAGTTTTAAATTATGTGTATGCATGTGTGCAAGTATGTGTATGTGAACTAGTTTCTCTTCCCCTCCCACTGTGAGGGCAAGAATGACGACTGTCTAACCTTCCAAAGTCTTTCCTGCAGCTGGCACTAGGAGGTGCCAGCTCAACAAATACCTGCCAAATGAGTAAACAAGTGAAGGTACATTCCAGGCCTTGCTCTGTCCATTTCACTTCCTGAAGGAATAGTTGCCTGGGGAGCAGGAGCTCCATACCTAGTGAACTTGACCCATGAAGTGAAATGCCAGGATTCTATGAGAAACATGCTTCTGTGGGGCTGGGACCCACCTGCTTTCTGGCATGAGTATTAGATGCCCTGTTTCTTGGGACTCACCCGCAAAAATGACTGCTTCTCTCCACAAGCTTTGCATGTCCATTTGTGACTCTTCTTCACCTACAATAAAATTTCAGAAATACAGCTTAGATAATTATTAAAACATGTGGAACTGGATTAGAAAAAAAATAACTTGAAAAGATCAATGGAAAAAAATCCAGAGTTCAGAAACAAACCAACACAAACATATGAAAATAAGTGAAGAAAGAACAGACGACTTAATGAGCAGTGCTGGGAAAACTAGCTACCCACATGAAAAAAAATCAAGTTAGATCTCTACCAGGTGTGGTTCTCAAAAACAATTTCATAACATTTAATTTTGATTCTTGATAAACCTGACTAGATGGGTTCTCTTGTAACGTGATAACTTACACCCAGTTTTAAAGCTGGAGAATCACTACCAGCATTGGCATAAAAGTGAACAACAAGCCAAGGATCCCCACTGTTACTTACCAATTTTAACCAATTAAATTGTAAAAGAGAAGGTAATAAAAGGTATGAAAACTGGAAAGGAGAAAAAAAAAAAACTATCATTATTTATAGATGACATGATTTTTTAAAAGCCTGAAAACCCAGGAGAATCAAACGAAAAACTACCAAAATCACTAAGATAATCTAATATAGTGGCTGTTTAAAAATTACTATAGCTTCAAAAATTAAAACAGCCTTTATATAAGCAAACATCTATTTAGAAAAACAGTCCATTTATTATAGCAACAAAGACAATGTTATTGATGGGCACCGAAGTTGCTTGAAGAAATAGAATGAGACAGCACGTTTAACATAAATATTTCTGAATTGGTTCATTAAAGTTACTATGATTAATATAATCTTAATACAAAAATCGTAAGGACTTTGGGGAGGTAACCACCCAAATTCTAAGGAGGATGAGTTGCATCTACTACAAATGTAAGTGGGTATATGCCACGATTTAGCAATTCCACTTCTCAGCATCTATGTTCAAACTTCATAAAGCACTGTGTATTTTCTACGGACACATAAGTAAGAAATGCATTAAAAAAATAAGTCTAGAAGGACACACAGTAACTGGTGAGTGGCTAGCTCTGGGGGGTGAAGAAAGGTACTATGATTTAACAGGCTCTTTGCAATTGACAGGCCTCTGCCACTTCTTTGACGGAGAGGCCACTTAATTTCTCTGGGTTTCAGTTTTCTCACATCCGTAAAATGAAAATGATACCTAATTCAGAGGTTGTTGAAATTAAATGTGCGAAATTGCCTAAAACAGCAG